AGGAGGAGAGGTTGAGGGACTTGCGCTTGTTCAGCCTAGGGAAGAAATGGCTTCAGAGGGACCCAAGAGCAGCCTGACAGTACCCAGGAGAAGGTTACTAAGCAGATGGAGCCAGGATCTTCCTAGTGGTTCAGGGTGGGATGACAACAGACTGAAACAAAAAGAGGTTCTGACCTGGTATGTGGAAAAACTTATCCACCACGAGGACAGCCAGGTAGCAGAGCACGTTGCCTGGAGAGGTTGTGCCATCTTCTTCCTTGGAGTTTTCCCAAGACCCAACTGGTCTTAAAGCCCTGAGCAACCTGGTCTGACCTCCAGGCTGACCCTGCTCTGAGCAGGAGGCTAGACTGGAGGTCTCCTGAGAGCCTTCTCACTTGAGTTATCCTCTGATTCTCTAATCAGTTACTCTCTTCCTCACTACTTCTTTTAGAATATCACATTATTAAAAAATTCAATACACAACAATCCAACAGCATGAGCTGAAATAACGTTAACTCAATACCGGAAAACATCAAAACTCTTTTCTCCCTCTACATCAGCCAACGCTCTCCCTGTGGGCGACTACTTCACTGACCCAGTGACATCAGCCACGGTATTTCTATTGCTGTGGACATGTGCTTACCACTCATACTCAAAAACATTTGTGCTGCTTTATAAACATGCCACAGAGCCTGGAAAGGAGAGGATTAGAAACATGCAGGTTCTAGCATCTGGAATTTATCACCTCATTAAAAGCTCCAGTGTGATGGTAGCTAGCAACAGAAGGAAAAATGAACAGAGAAGACCTATGGGATTGGTCAGTCATACTGGGGAACATACTTGACCCCCAATGAGGGGGACATTCACAGTCATTCTAATCGAACTACCACTCATCAGCAAAACATAAGGCAGCCTTCCCTCTAGTATTCATTCCCAATTCAGAAGTGGAAAAAAACAACTGGATTATCTTAAGAGCTGCTGGCATCTGCATACAGAAGAGGTGGTTTCACAATCTAATGCATTCACTATGTCATTATTCACATTATTGCCAAGTAAGAGAAGTATCTTGACCATCTCTTCTGCCAACCATCAGCACTTCAGGTACATCTAGAGTAAGACTGAGCTGGCTTATTTAAGTGAGAGTAGGATGAGGATCCTTGTAGAGGATCAGGAGTCAAGTCTGTTGAGACAGCTTTAATTCTGAATTGCTCTCTGTACATCCACACAAGGAGATGTATGATCTAATTCTTTAAGCAAAGTCAGGGATAACTTGGCTCACTGCTTTTCCAAAGGATAAGAATTAGACTCCAATGACTAACTCCTTTCTCCGCTTTATATTTGTTCACTTATTTTTCCAGGCCACATAAATAAACGTTTTGCTGAAGCAGAAGGAAAGTATTTAACTGACAGTATCTTGTGACACAAGCAACTAGGACATGGAGAAATGGTTGGTTTGGTTAGTCAAGTAAGTTAAGAGCAGTCTTGCAAATTTCTCTGTATCAACAGTAGAAGACCAATGCATGCCTCTCAAATATCCTGGGGAGCTTTCCATGATGGCTTCTGATCTGAAATAAGCGATATCTTAAGTCAATAGATTCACACAGCAGAGGTAGAAAAGCTTAGCCTTAAGAAATGGAATTGTATTTGGAAGAAACATGCTTGAAAAACTAAAGCTTACTGATGATCCATGAAGGCTAGAACAATTATGTCCACTGGAAAAATAATTTAAAGACGTACTAATACCATTAACTACTTGGACAGAGAGATGTATCATTAGTTCCGTAACACAGACCGCCAACCTTTGCCCTAGCTGTTAATACAGAAAGCATAACCAACAAGTTTTAAGAAAGCTTAAACATCTCTAACAGCTTTTTATTTTTTAAATAATTACACTGGAAGACAGATTGAATCAAAACCCCAAAAAAAACTTAAACTCCAAAAGAAGAGCAGACATATCACTGCAAGTTTTACCCCTCCATCTAGCTGAATTTCCAGTACACTTATTTTGGCACACAGATTTCTTACCCCATGTTCCTCTTGCTTAGCAGACACAGAAGAGATAAAGCATATGGACATGCCAGTCCAGGGATGCCTTGGTCCGAGCATGCCACACTAGATCTGTGAATAGACACGGGACTTGGTATTTCTGAGCTGACAAGCCAACCTTTTCATTATAACACAAAACGTCTCCAAGAGAGACATGACATACTGTCAGCATGGGACTGAAATCACAGGGAAATCATTAAGAAGGATTGCATTGCTGGGTTTCCTAAGTCTCCAAAGATAGTCTCAAGACCAAAGGACAGAATACATATGTTAACCGGGTAGAAAAATACTTCTGTCAGAAAACCAGTGATAGAAAAGAATGGAAGCTATTGCAAACTCATTTGATTAAACATATCTACTTCTTATGGACCGTTGCTCCAGAAATTGTAAGATAAAATAAAATTCATTTCACTACAGCACATCCCAGATCTAGATTTGCACAGGGGAGACACTCTCAGGATGAAGTTACGTATTATGCCTTTAGAGGATTTAACATCTAACCATATGCTAGTGGAGAAGATCCTATTCATGCCTCCTCCCCCACAATATGCAGAATACTCCTTTCCTCCCATTTCACCAGTGTTTGCCAAAAACCGTACCACGCTGATTCAACACTGACTCGAATGTGCTAAAATGAACAACTTTCTGTGGGATGAGCAAGTTGAATTAACTCAGTGAAGGGTCAAACAAGTGCCAAAGCAATGGGACTTCACCCTAAGATAATAAGATTGGTGGTGTGCCGCTCCTCCACCATACAGGTGTGAAAAGATAGCACAGGTAGGGAGCAGCGGGGGATCCTAGACAGCAGAAACTGAAATTGCAGAAGTAACAAAGTAGGAAATCCCAGGCACCGCAGACATCAATGACCTTCCTATCGTTTTGATGCATGCCCCCTTTAAACCTACTGGGCTCCTATGCACTCAAATACCCTCTCTCCCCCTCCCTTCCACATTTCTTTACTTGTCACATGTTATCTGTCCTCTCAGCTTTAGCATCCCCTCAATCCTTATTGTCTTTCCTTAGTGTTTCTTATTCCCCACTTAAACTCATAATCATAATAACAACAATACCATTAACGTGACACTCCTCACCATCGCAACAATCACTGAGCACACGCATCCCGCCCCTTTCCCCTTCCTTTTTCCATTTACGTACACTATCCAGGAGACTGGCAATCGCAACGCGTTTAGGCAACGACTTGGAGAACGGGGTGCTGCAGTAACTACCGCAAACACACACAACTACTAGTAACAGTCTTCTGATTGACCTGACATAGTCAATATACAAGTGTTCCCTCCACATTAAAAGATCTCCTAGACCAACCAATAACCCACCAACACCATAGCCCCTCTCACAACTTCCTTCCTTCCAATGTTCAAAGCCGTGTGCAATTCCAATTAACCTCTTTGAAGGACTGGAAAATAAACATACTGCTTTTCTACAAGTTACTCCATTTCAGCACACAAAGAAAACCGTAAACTAGTTACCAAAAGGAAACCAATTAGAAAGCAACCTTGCATGCATCAGATCTATTGCAGAGAGCAAGTCTCCCCTTTGTACCCCTTGCTTTTGCAGGATTCAGTACATATTTACCTGCAGCATGAAGAGTCTGAGCTAACACCCAATATCTAAGTAGCCACCTCTTTGTATTACCAAGGGAGACAAACACTGGCTGCGAAAGCATGTGGGCAGAAAAGTAAGCAGAACACTGAGGTGATGATGAATAACGCACTCCTGAATGTCTAGGTACAGTGGGATTTTCATAATTTCATAACATCCCAGCATCTTCCCCACATTGCAGCAAAACAAAATAAAATGTAGGTGGAACCAAACTCCTGTTATTAGCACGCAAAGAAAATGAACTTATTTAAATTCACCCATCTGTTCTGGCCAGCCATTCATGAGTAATTCTCAACATTTCAGTCACCTGAAAAAAGACAGCGAGTTCTAGGCACAAACACTTCCTAAGCAGTTAATATTCACGATCACAGACGATTAAACCATACCGTGTTTCATTCTTTCAGTGAGCTTTGTTTCTCACCTGGCTTCCTGGCTGCTTTTTGTCTCTAGCATTTCTCTCCCGTTTCTGGCAGATGAAGTGGAGGTGGAGAAGAAAGGGGAAGAAAGTTCTCGGGTAGTGTAAGGATTACAGTTATTTCCTATCCTTCAGCAAGGAAGAGTTTCAGGGAACAGATGACCTAATGCTGCTACCTACTCCTCCACCCCACTTTATTTTTTTTTTTTTTTAAACTTATGTTTACAGGTGTTTGCAATTCCAAAGTTATACAACGCAGGGACAAAGTTTAGTACATTTATCTTCTTTTTGCCCCCAAATCCACAGGGAAGATACCTCCCACCCACACATTTCTTCCACCTTTTTGTTGTTGCTGTGGGCAATTTAAAACAGAGAATTGCAATTCAGAGATCCTCAATCGTGCACCTACAGGTCACTGACATTTGTTCACACCCAAGCCTGATGTGAATGTAGATGCCACTCATCAAAAGGACAGTTATGCCACGGATAACAAATCATCCCAACTCCCTAAATGAAACAACAGTATTAGCACAGGGACAAACTTACTTTCAAAGCATTCTTGGTATTCTGCCTGATTACCTGCCCTTGTTCAAAACAAAAGGAGAACTATCCTTAGATGGCTCTACTCATGTTTCCTTTCAGCTTTCTGAAATAAGAGCTGTTTAAGATCTTGCATTTTGTTTTCAATTGGAAAGGTCCCCTGGATTGGGTGGTGAAACGAGTCTGTAGACTTTTTTTAATAAGGAGAAAGGGAAAGAAAGAGATGGGACACAGGAAAGGCAGGAAAGTTTATTGCATCTTCATTTTTAGATTAGAAAAAGTCTCAGAAAGTTACAGGAAAAGTATAATTAGTGAAAGAACAACACTCTAAGAGCCTACAGAATCTAATTCTGTCTTGCGCACGAGAAAACGCAAAAAGGAAAAAGTGATGACTACTTACATATAATATGTAGGATATAATCCTTCAAAGTACCAGCAATGCTTTTTGGCCTCCGTACACTACAAAGAAAAAAACCAGAGTATTAATATTTACATAGGACAATGTACAGTTATAAATACAAGCATAGAGTATTTATAAATACTGTGACTTTGAGCAATTAGGAAAGGTTTCTATTCCCAAAGATTTCCCAATTCTGATACACACAGCAACCGGGAAGTCAGTTCATGTGAATGGCAGCGTGCCCTACCAGGGTTCAGACCCCTCACGCAGGGCTTTGTCTGCGGGGCCCCGTAGCTTCCCCCGATTCACGAACAAAGTCAGTACATTCGGTGCAGACGGAGGATCCAGCTGCATGTGTGCCCTGGCAGAACTGCTGTCTTAAAAGGCCACAGAGAACTTAAGAGCCCATCCGTGGTTATAGGCACTTAAGAGACCTCCAAGGCATAACCAGTCTCATGGCACTATGCGTATGACTACACAGTAAATTCAATAATTCCAGGGAATTATTCATCTTTCTGGAAGTCTCTGGCGTACAGAGCCAGGCTCAGAAAGGAGCAGAATGGAGAACCCATCCATCCCATCTCCTCTTCCTACAGCTTGGAAATAACTCAAGTGTTCATTAAAGCACCGGGGAAAGGAAACTGCTTTCTGCAGCCCAGGGGTATTGTTCTCTTTTGCAGATTGCCAGCGGATCCTTGTTAAAGGACGGCGACAGGCATTTTCTCAGCATGTGTGTGCAGGCAACATGGGAAGTGCACATCGTTACGGGCACTGCCAGAGTACAGACGGCAGCTCAGAACAATAGCGGCGCTTAAAAAAGAAAACCAGATGTCAAGCCCAAGCTCTATATACAACGCACAAAATATTTCTGCGTATCCCGCTGACATCGCTAGCATAAAATGCCATCTTCATCGCAGATGTAGCTCCCGGAGCTCCACCACAAGCTGCATTATCCAATCACACACAGCCAGGGCGTTGTGGGACACCCTCCGCAGAGCAGCAAGGAATACCTTGATGGGGTTTTAGCAACAATTCCGTCTCCTGCTCACACCTGACACCCAATGTCAGAGAGCGCTCAGCACACCGGTGGTGCTTGGATCATCCTTCATGTTCACTTGGCAGCTCACCTTTAAATAATAGCTCGTATAAGTTTATTAGCCTCCCCGAATCCCAGAATACTAAATGAATCCAGTTAAGACAAAGACAAAGTGTTTTTAGATCCCCGACTCTCACTCCTCATGAATAAGAAAGGCTGCAAGCTCTTTAATGAGCATCTGATGTGCTAAATCACAGACAGATCAATTACAGCCCATGAAGACAAACTGCTATGGATTAAATTGTTAAGAGCGGTACAGAAGATGGGGAGAGATGGAGGAGGAGAAGATCTGTGCGATCAGGCCTTTCCACTAGTACAAGAGGCTCACACCAGTCTCCAAGATGCACAAGCTTTAGCTTCTGTTGAAAGGACTGGAGCTTTTTCCTCAGGATAAACACAGCTGAAGCCTCATTTCCCTCTCATATCGATGCCACGGTGCAACCAGTATATGCAGGAGGGCTCCACAGCTGCTGCTGGAGCAAGTGGTGTTCAAAGATCCATCTCCACATTTGGCTGTTCCCCTTTTTTCCCCCCCCCTCTCCTTCAAAGCTTCCAACTTCTTAACCCTTCCTTCCAAATATTTTCATCAGCTGGCTCTTTCCTCTTATGCTAAAATTAGAAATATGTCAAGCTTCTCTCCGTAACACCCTGCAAACATATACGCACTGTAAACCCAGCAGGTCTGCTGCCAAGTCAGTGAAAAATACTCTGGCTCTTCACCTTCGAAGGCTGCAGATCAGCAGGCCCTGGCTAAAATCCCAGCGCCTGCAGGTCAACCCCTTGGGAAGCCTCATTGCAGAGTCCAGCTTGGGGTGTATGCTGTTAAAAGTTTTTCCTTCCTGCTTCTCAACCAATATGAGTCACCACTTACCTCAACAGCCTTAAAGCCTTCGTCAGTCTCGAGCATTTTAATTGATGTTTTCCCAGCAATGTTTCTGAGCACGTGGCGCCTGCCCACCCTTTACAAGTGTAAAGGGGACATTTATATTCAGCACTCATTCTGCTCGCCCTCCTCCCCGTATTTTAATCCACTTTACAAGTTCTAAAATGAGTTGGGAAGATTCCTCCTTCCCACATCTCCCAAGCTGCAAGATTTCTGTTTCTGCCTCTTAACAATTCTCTGTTTCAGACAGCCAATATGCTTAGTGCTGTCACAAGAAAGGCTCCAGCCTGGGAAAGTTTTGCAAGTAACAGCTCCTTCCAGCTTACAGGGCTTAGATACCTGCACTAAAAATCCTTCAGTGCCTTCAGACTTTGCTTTTATATGGGCCCTGGAAGAGCAGGTACCAATCCCAATTCTGCCTTGTTTTAATATCACAGCACTATAAATACCGCATGGCAGTTGTTCAGCTCTCCTACACTGGGATCAGGCAAACAAGCAAGTGGACCTCAAATGTGAGCAGCACAGCCGAATCCAACACACATGACATGTCAAACAGATTTACGCACGCAGGGCAAACCGCTGCGGTCCCTGCTCGATTAAAACTCCTACCAATCTCCATGGCAACTTTACGCCAGTAAACCCCGACATAAAGCGGGCGGCTACTAACCACCGTCTCTACTGCTGGTTAGCAGACCTTGCAGGAATTCACTGCCAAGAATAAGATGAGAATGTCATTACCTCTAAGGATTTGAGCCTCTTTAGCACTCAGGTACCAGAAAGATGAAGGGGGTAATCAGGGCACAGATTAGTTTTTCCCCATCCCACACACATCCTCTGAAGCAGGCTATGATCATCCGTCTCTTGCCAAGATCCAAATTATTCTTTTGAGTGGTACCGGCCTCTCAGTTAAGCTGGTGGAGAGCCATACAAGCATGAGAGGGGACGTACGCCGTCAGCATCAAGCTCTCATCCTCACAGAGCCTTTGAAGGATGATGTCCTTCTACTTGTTTGAGACTATTAAACCCTCAAGAAACCACAGCTGGCAGCAACTTGCTGCAGTCCGCAAAACAGCACAAAAAGAAGATTACTCGTATTACTGCAATACAAAAGGACCTCAGACATCAGGGTTGGTGCCTGCTCCGCTAGCTCCTGTACAGAGACGGGCTGTATCTCAGAGTTTCTAACAAGCATTTGTTCATGTCTTTAAAAAGCCATTTACCCATTCACTAAAAGCAAAAAAAGTGTGCTTATGGTTTTTAAACTAAGCTTAGGTACGGCCCTGCTGATGTTTTCAACTTTTCTAGGAGAAGGACTCTGCACATTTTGCCTATAAAATTCCTCCTTCTATGTCCTTTAAACAGTTTGGCACAGCTATAAAATATAAATGCAACAGTACATTCATTTTTTAAATAAATGATGCAGGTCTAATTGGGTATGCATATGTAATCATTAGAGAATTAATGGTATGTGAATTAGCCAGATGCTTGAATACATTCCTTAAGATTGCATATTTGGAAAGAGGAAAAAAAAAAAACCAACAAAACAAAACACAAGACTTGTTTTTTTGTTTGTTTTTAAATAAATCAGCATCTGTCTTGTAGCCTGTTTTCTTTGACAGGCTGCAGCAACGCAAACTGCAAGCCGTCCTTTTCTGTGGCCTCTAAATTCATTCAGATTTCCTTTAAGAAAGGCAACGTGCTTCCTGCCACAGATTGAAACTGCAAATGTTACTGCTGCTAGGAGGAACAATGAGAAAGAGAAGTTACTAAAACCTTAACCAAAGACCGGTTTTGATCACACCATAAAATACAGAACGCGAGTACATATGTATGCACATGGTGTGGGGGAAGACAGAGCCGGCAGCCTGCTCACTGAATGTCGGATGGTACTCTACGGATCATTAGCTATGCTTTGCAGGATTTGCAGAAACACTATCTCTAGCAGGAATATCCTCCACATTGGACATCATTATCTTTCAGTCCACAGGACAGTAAAAAGAAAACAGATCTGATCAATTAATTACTCTTTGCAATCAAGGGAGCAGTAGATTCACACCCAGCGCTTTTATTGGAGGTTTGGAAAATAATAATAAAAAAATAAAAACAATTACAGCCCCATCTGCAGGCAGCAAATACTTTCCGATATGAGTACAGTCCATACCAATGAAAAAAGCAGCCTCCTGTGGACAGATGTGTTTGTGGAGGGCAGGGGGAGGGCGATTGCTATCTGTACACTGGAGGGACATTCAGAGCGAGTTTGTGACACCTGCTCAAAGCCAGATTCTGTAGGAGGCACAGGTCTGCTATTGATCACAAAGTCAGTGAAACCCTACCAGTTATCAGCAACCGAGGGTGTGGCTCTTTCTTCTGAACCAGACAAAAAGCTAGATGCTACACACAATTTCCATTATGTATTACAGTTATAAGGATCCAAATAGGTACATTCAGAAGGGAAAAAAAGCAGAAATTTAACTGAGTGACCTGCCATACTGATATGACAGAAATGGCTCCTAGTATGCTGGGATGACTCCCGTAGTGGCTGTTACCTCCCCTTCAGCTGGGTATATGCTACATGTTAGTAGGGTGCAAGTTGATCCAAGTGTCATTCCTGTGGCTATAGCCTCTGAGGCTCTGCTAGGATTAATTCGCAGATGCACAGGAAGAAAGAGTTAAAAGCATCTAAGACACAGAACAAGGCCTCATCGTTTCTGAGCTTCACACAATCCTATTTCAACATACACCCAGAATCCTGTCTTCCACACAGCTAGATCAAACTAGCAATTGAGGAAACGGGAAGGACAACACTTTTCTGACCATATGGCTCCACAGCATCTGAGAAACAACTGGCTATGCCTGCTGCCTCTGTTATAGAAGGCCTCTTGCAAAACTCACCCGTACACATCTTTCCCAGTTTTACTGGTCGCTGCACCTGGCAAGTACTCGATCGAGCCCAGACAAAAGGATGGGGCAGTCTACAGTGCAACTCCAGACTAAATAATCAGTTCCAGAAGGCACATTATTGTCTAGGAATCACAATGTTTTATAGGATCTGACCTTTAAAATTGTATCAGTTCTCAGAACACTATCCATTTCAGTGCCTAGACAAGAGCTGAAAGCATTATGGTACAAGCTGCTCATTAGATACGGTGCGCTGAAATCAGAAGGACTTTTGCATGCTGCAAGTTTGAAAGATTGGATTTGCAGAGACAAGAATATGAGCATACCACTCTTCCATAGCCAAGAAAAGGGCAAAATATCATCCATTAGAGTTAAGAGACAACATACACTGAAACTGAAAAGTGCAGCCTAAGGGTGAAAACAATTTACTACAGAAAATACATTTTGCTTTAGCCTTGCCTGAATCCATCAAAATTCATCCTTACTTCTTCCCTGGTGATGCTAACAGCAGAGGGTAAAAGTAACCCATCTCCAAACTATTCTAAGAAACTGAGCTCACAAGCCATGTTACCATTGATTTCAACAAATACTCTTGTCACAAAAGACAGAAGCAACTCTTACTAAAAACCCCAATTATGTTAAGGTATTTTTATTTACTAAGGTAATGAGGAAACAGCAGGAAACTCTTCTATAATAGGATGCTGATCCTTTACCAAGCTTTCCCTCCCATGTAACAGTAAACAGAACAAATGCTATTCCAGATATACAGTTGTTTCATCAAGACCAAGATTAAAAAGTCGTATAACTCGTAATAGAAGGAATGATTTTCATATATTTCAGAAGGAGTTGTTTCTGACCAGTCTTTCTGACTGTTCTCTAAGAAAGAGGGCATATTTCCCATATAGGATTCTTAAAAGAAGCAACTTTTCCATCTTGAATTAATCAGTCTGTGTTTTGCAACAGTAAAAAATTTCAGCACAAGCAGCTAATTCTTATTAGTTCTTCTGGTGCTCTGAGCACATACATTAATCATCATATTTTTATTTAGCATTAACGTGGGTTTAGCATTCGATAGCCTCCCCATCACAAAGCATTACTTTCCATTTAGATCGATTAACCTTTCCCACAAAAGAAATACAAATATCCCTTCCATGCAATTTCATTTCAGGAGCCTGACTCGTTTATTTTATATATATATATATATATTGGTTTTATTTTTTTTTTGGCCACCGTGCAGCAAATTGCAAATGCACTTCAGTCCTAGAACGATACGATTTCAATTGAATATAATCCTTCCATCAGTCTCCCAGGGCGGGGGG